TTTTTTTTATTAATGCATGCGAAAATATACAAATGTTCGGGACGTAGCCTGTGATACATGATAAAATTTCTATTTCTAAATTCTAATTATGCAATCTTCTTTTGAATATTCTAGAAGTAATTCCTGTATCAAAAGCTGTATATCTATTTCGGATGCTTTTATTTTCTGCAAGTTAGTATTTTGCAAGTTAGTATTTTGCTCTGTAGAGGATTGTTTTAATAAATCAGAGCTATTAGAGATTGGTTGCGACTTTGTGAATGACTCCAAATTTTGATTATGTAATAATTTCGGATCTTGATCGTTAACGGTTTCTATAACATGAGATAAGTTGGAGGAAATGTCTTGGATAGTTAATCTATATTTAAGCTTTCTTTCTCTATTGCGTTGCCTTATCTCATTACTAACTCTTTCCTTTTCTTTTAAATCTAGAAAATCATCATTTGCTTTGTCTTCCGGAGATTTGAGCTCTGTATTAATCGATTGACATATATCAAAATTTAATATATTATCTGATATATCAGATGCGAGAGCATTCTCATTTTGTGAGACTATCTGTTTATGATTATTGATAGAATTTATTTCAGAAGAAACAGGTACTTCTTCACTTATTAAAGCCATGTCCTTGTCTTGCAAGCTTTGTTTCTTGATTAATGAGACATCATATTCTAGTTTAGCAATAAGGTTAGTTTTTTCTTTATCGCTCTGTTCAATTTTAGCAATAAGGTTAGTCTTTTCTTTATCTCTCTGCTTTAGATTCGTGAATCTGGTTTTATATTTTTCTAAAGCTTGTTTTAATTTTGCATTTTCAGCCTTGACTTTAGCATGCTCATTTTTAAGTTCACTATTCTCAGCCTGAAGCTTAAAATTTAATTCTTCTAATAAATCGATTTTGGATTGTGTGTTTGCTATTGTTTTATATAAGATGCGGATATATTCAAAAGTGAGTTTATCTTCTCTATAATATTGCGCAATTCTTGGTCATGCTTAATTATGTCATGTTTTAAAAAATGTTATCTGCCCTTTTAAAAACAGTTACCCCACCTACCTGCCCTTAAAAATTGTAACCCACCTACCCACCCTTAAAAATTGTCAATAATTGTTATTGACCCGCCCACCCACCTTTGATATCACAAACTTTCTTTGTTTTGTATAACTATCAATCTTGCCTTCTTATCTACTAAAGAACGATTGTTGGTCATGTCACGTTTATCTACTAAAGGGCAAATGTTTTCACGGTAAAAAAAAAATGTAATGCTACAGAGATCCTGAATATGCACTGCATCAGTGGTGCATATTTGGGTTTTCTGTAGCATTACATTTTTTTTCAAATGTTATATGAGAACCGTCATGCTGCATTTAAATTTAAAGTGCGAAATGTCATATACTTCTAAGTAGTGGTAAATAAAGTTAAATTTAAAGTGTGATACGTCATATACTTCTAAATAATGGTAAATAAAGTTATTGAAATTGTCAATTAATAGCATATGACGTATCGTACTTTAAATTTAGCTTTATTTACCGCTACTTAGAAGTGTATTATATTTTGCACTTTAAATTTAAGTTTAGTCTACACCTGGAACCCACCCAAAATTTTTTTCCCACCTATTGTCTGGCCTTATAGCTATTGCAACCCGAAAATGTGTATCAAAAGTTGCGCTCTGGATGATCATGTGACTGTCCAGAATGAATATCCGAAAAAATTTTTGAAGTTTGATTTAGCACATGGTTAATTACATATATTTATTTTTATTAATTATGTATTTTGTATAAATATTACAATACATAATAATACATATACATTTGTAAAAAATTAAAAACTTATATTATTAATTTTTATTTATTAATGTTTTTTGGTAAATTATGATTTTTCTAAAGTTTGTACGTGCTTTCGATGACATTTTTTTGAAAAATCCTATGCTTTCTTCATTGTAATGATGCAGGTTGCGCTTGAATTTTTGCTCCACATCATAATGATTCTGCCTTTATAGCAGAATTCCGTTGATAAAGATAAGATTCAGCTTTTTCGTATTCTTTTTTAAAATTTTTAATACTAGCAAATAGTTGTCCATATACAGTATCTTTTTTCCTTGAAAAATAACTTTATTATTTTATTTCCTTTACAATAAAGGTTTTAGTTAGCTGTATAATGGTCTTTGATATTTTCTGAAATTCGCTTAACTGATCTAAGGTACCTTAGTTACTGTTAAGGTCTACATATAAAACTACATTAAGCTATTGTAACCATTGTTGAGAGAGCTTAATAGAATTATGTGGAACAAAAGCCAATTTAACCCCAACAGTGTACAGGAAGATAATAATAAACTTAGAGAAACGAAGGGAGTCGTTTATACTGTCAGAGGTCTATTTGACAATATGATACTAGGAAGTGAAGGATTTAATATTAAGAGAGGTGATAATGGGGCGATGCTACTACAGGTGATGCTATTAGGGATATCTCAATAAGGTCGATGAGATAAAAGCAGACAATAATCAAGTGATATTGGTAATATCTTCAAGTCCATGTGAGTGATTAGCAAGGTCGAATAACCAATCGTAGATATTGTTCTATACCACAATTCTTGAAGTCACTACTATGAATGGCAATATCTGATTTCAAAACTGTTCTAAAATCTGAGTCTTAATAAACCAAATCAAAGTTACAAGTCAATTCAGTCTGTCGAATTGAGTCTTGAAAGGGTTTATTAAAGTTACAAGTCGAATTCAAAGACAAAGTCTCCAAGAAAAATTCAGATAAGTATATATTTTATTATTTTGTGGTAATTAAAAGTGGACATGAATTACTAACTATTTATCACTAACTACTGTAATTGACTAACTCTAACTGACTCCTGTAATTCCTTTTTGTCATTCTCTGTTCGTTTATTAAACTCATGATACTTATATACATTTTAATTCCCAGTAACGTAGACACCGCAATTGTGGTGTTTACAATAAAAATATAACGTAGACGTGGAAATTCAGATATATGCACTGTAAAAATAACATATACACCAAAAGATCTCAAGGTGCAGTCTTTGTGCAATTATATATATACGGCTTTTTCAGTATTTATGTGATTCATCTGATTTCCATGCAACTAAGTTACTCATCATTACTATTTTAGTATAAGTTATGAAATAATCAAAAGAAATTAATACAGTAGATATACTAAAATTGGGCATTGTTACCAGAAT